TTTTTTTTTTGCTATCTCCCATAGTTTTGCCTTCTCCATAATGTCATATAGTTGGAATCATACACTATGTAAACTTTTCAGATTGGCTTCCTTCACTTACATGCATGTAAGTTTTCTCCATGTCTCTTCATGGCTTGATAGCTCACTTCCTTTCAGCGCTGAATAATATTTCTTTTTCTGGATGAACCACAATCTACCCATTCCCCTACTGAAGGACATCTTCGTTGCTTCTAGATTTTGTCAATTATAAATAAAGCTGCTATAAACATCCATGCGTAGTTTTTATGTGGACATGTTTTCAACTCAGGGTAAATGCCAAGGAGCGCAATTGCTGGATCATATGGTAAGAATATGTTTAGTTTTCTAAGAAACTGCCAAACTGTCTTCCACAGTGGCTGCGCCATTTTGCATTCCCACCGGCAATGATTGAGCGTTCCTGTTGCTCCACATCCTCACCAGCATTTGGTGTTGTCAGTGTTTTGATTTTCGGCCATTCTGATAGGTGTGTAGTGGTATCTCATTGTTATTTTAATTTGCAATTCCCTAGTGACATGACATTGAGCATCTTTTCATGTGCTTATCTGCCATCTGTGTTTCTTTGGTGAAATGTCTGTTTAAGTCTTTTGCCCATTTTTTAATTGGGCTGTTCATTTTCTTATTGTTGAGTTTTAAGAGTTCTTTGTGTGTTTTGGAAAACAGTCCTTTATCAGATAAGTCTTTTGCAAATATATTTTCTCCCAATACGTGGCTTGTCCTCTCATTTTTTAGAAAGCTATTTTTCATCATATCACTTGAGGTCATATCAAATTATTGGTAATAGTACCTTGGGAAACCAGATTCCCTGAGTTTTCTTCATTGGGCATGCCATTGGATCCTATTGCCTTCTGTGCTGCTTTTCCCCTTGTCTACTTCTGTCTATCCATTTTTGCTGTCATACTTGAGTAAACTCATTCAACAAACATTTACCTAGTGCCTCTGGTAAATAAGTCATTGCAGTAGGTGCTGGAGATTAAGATGTGAGAAGCGGGTATAGACCCAAGATGTGTGTTATGTAGGAATTGACAATGTTCAGTGAACTGATATTCAAATGAAATGATTGGCAAGTAAAGAGGAACTTGATAATCTAGGGCAGCAACTTAAAAATCCACCCTAGGGGCGTCTGGGTGGCTCAGTCGTTAAGCGTCTGCCTTCGGCTCAGGTCATGATCCCAGAGTCCTGGGATCGAGCCCCGCATTGGGCTCCCTGCTCGGCGGGAAGCCTGTTTCTCCCTCTCCCGCTCCCCCTGCTTGTGTTCCCTCTCTCGCTGTGTCTCTCTCTGTCAAATAAATAAA